TCACTGACACTACTTCTTTCTTCATCGAGGCCCTTGTCAGTGGCTGATCCTCTTCCGGGCTTATTCTTACTACTAGTAGCACTACAGTTCCTGTGTTTTTTTACCTGTTTTATTTCTGTATCCAAATCCCTTTCTTTCTGTCTCATTGACCTGGTTTTTTTTCCTTCKGTTGTTTGCTGTTGTTGTTTACRGGTATTCATSTTTACAAAGATCTGTTTTTCCAAAATGAGTGGTTTTCAACAGACTTCTGATGATATGTTTTTTTTTCTGAGAGTGTTGGGTGGTTGGTTTTTCACCAGCCTTACCAGTCACCGGTCATGCTTGTTTCTTATACTTGACACAACAAGCCTGCAGTGCCGTGCCATAATTTTTATACATTTTCTTTGGTAGTTAAACTTGTCCTAAGGTTCATAGTAGTAGCGGTGGTACAGAAACCTCATACTACAAATATAGTAAACCATTTTTTTTCTCATGACTACTAGTTCCACTGCAACACAGATACATAGGTTTAGTAGTATAACAAATATTTTCCATATAGTATTAAGTAGTAGTTTTAGCAAGTTTCCTTATTCCACCAACCCCCTGGAAAATTGGTCCAGGAGTACTGGGTTTGATTATTTTCTTCTATTATTTTCCCGGAATACCAGTCCATTCCGCATCAAACTTACATTCCTCTGGCCCCGCTTGAAGCAGGTACGGTGAAGTACACTTCCTCCCATCTGAATGTAAGCCTGTTGAAGTTCCTGAACACTTATCTGGTCTTGGCAAGGAACCCATCAGGGAGGAAAAAGGATGGGAGTTTCATTACAAGGCATGGGATGTAACAACGGAGGATCCTAACAATGAGTTCTCAAGGAAGTTTGCTACAAAACACAACATGTTTCCAGATGAAAGGAAGGGGAAGTTGGATATTTACAAGCTTCAGCAGCATGGACTCACAAAGGATCGCATTGACAACAGAGATGCGTTCTTCTTCTATCAGTTGCTCCTTCCTATTGCTCATGACTCAGTGGAAGCTCAGCGGTACCAAAGTGAACCAGAGAAGAAGTATATGTATTGCAACAAGGTGATGAGATATACAAATGTGTACATCATGGATTCAAATGAAGGGGAAGGACACCAAGTGAAACCTGTAACTTTACCTGAAGCAATTCATTTTGATGGGATCCTTTTTATGCATGGAGCTTGTGAAGGAGGAAGTGAGAACATCAAGTACAGATGGGATGCTAAGGATCTTTCATTTAATGAGGACATTGCGAATACAATGACACGTACAAGGTGGCATGAAATCAAAAGAAACTTGAAGCTATGCAAGAACAATTCTGAAAGGAACAGTGGAAGGATAGCTTACAAGTTTGACTACATCTATCAGACTATTGTCAATAACATGAATTACTTCACAGAGTATGCTGGCTTGGATCTATGTATCGACAAGACCAGTTGGCCCTATCAAGGCTTTGGTGGTCCACTTGTTAACTACTTGAAAGGAAAGATGATTACGAGGGGTGGACAGACTGTCCTTATGTCAGATGTGGATCAGATCTGTCCAAGGGCATGGAAACATCGATACCGTGGGTGGAAATCCGATGATGATAGGCATTCCTGCACAGGCCCAGCTGAAGTTCATCGCCTTGTTGATACCTTTGTTCTTTCTAACATAGGACCTGGCAAGATTTGGAAATTGCCACCTCATATCACTGCAGACAATTTTTTCCTATCAGATTCCATTTTGGATTGGATGGGTGAGCAAGGCTTGGGTATGATGGGAACTGTTGCTAAGAACAGGTTGCCAGCAAAGGTTCCTGGAAAGTACTTCCACAAGAAAAATGCTGCAGGGGATTCAAATGGAAAATCGAGAGCCAAAGCTTCGCGTATGGCGAAGCCTATGACTGCCATGAAAACTGTACCAGCTGACACTCAGAGGGGTACAAAAGCCTACAGATGAGTCCATTGTTCATTTCAGAGCACAGGAGCATGCAACTTGGGATCAGTGAACTCTATTTCCTCTTCCACCTTTTATATCCATCAGAAGGAGCACAGAAGGGGAACAGACAAGAGGATATGGGGCATTGAAATGAATGAGTCTCGTGAGGTTTATCTTTATTCCTATGGGAAACTTGACCATATAGATGCATACATCTCCAGAGCCAATATTGGTTACAAATCATGGAAATACTATCATGCAGCAATTAACCATGCAAAGGCGTTGGCAATTGCTACTGCTTATGACATCTACAAAGAGTGTACTGACGGAAGCCTTGGTGATGAGTGGAAGGTAAACAACGTTATGACATATCGCGAGTTCCGTCAAAGGCTTGCTTTGCAAATGATTAAGTATGATCCTGTTGAGCAGGCATATGCAATACTAGATTGAGGCAGTGTACAAAAGCAACAACAAAGTTAAGAACCGGCAGGGCAACTAAAAGAAAAGCATGTAAGAGTTTCCTTAGCAATGACAAGCTCCTTGCATACCACAATTTGCAGACTATTGCAGAGTATAAGGCGATGGGAAGGTTTTGCTTCACTCAGAGTAAGTACAAGAAACATTTGATAGCGACAGGACCAACCAAGTCAAGAAGCAGAAACATTTGTTACATGTGCAGTAGCAATACATACAGCTTGTGTCAGCCATGTAGGGTTCCTTTGTGCTCTGCCCATACTCATTCAAGGAAGCAAGACTCTAGTGGAGATCTTGTCAAGTGCAACTTTTGCCACAGCAACTACCACAATTATGAGTGGTTTGGTCTAGGAAGGAATGACTACTGCTCTAGGGTAAGAAATGACAAGAAAAGAAAAGATAGGGCCAAATGGAAGCCTCCAACCAATGATGAGTTGAAAGACAACGCTGAGTACATGAAGTACTTGTTGGACATCAAAGATGATGAGGAGGACACTGGCTTTGGTGAGGGTGATGGTGTTGAGGTTGTTGTTTCCCCAAGCAACACGACCGTGAACAGTGAACTAACTTTACCAACTGAGAGTAGTACTACTACTGGTGGGTTCACAAGCACAGTGGTTGGACCATTAGAATCAGTGTAATACATGAAATACTAGTTATATTCAGTCATCCGTATCAGCTCATTTGGTTGCTTGTTCCTTCGGTTGCTTCCTTTGGTTGCTTCCTTATCAGCAAACTCCTCCGTATCAGCAGCTCATTCCGTTGCTTCCTTCCTATGTATCAGCAAACTCCTCTGTATCAGCAGCTCATTCCGTTGCTTCCTTCCTAGGTATCAGCAAACTCCTCCTCCGTATCAGCAAATTCCTCCTCTGTATCAGCAAACTCCTCCTCCGTATCAGCAAAACTCCTCCTCTGTATCAGCAAAACTCCTCCTACATATCAGCAAACTCCTCCTCCGTATCAGCAAAACTCCTCCTCTGTATCAGCAAAACTCCTCCTACATATCAGCAAACTCCTCCTCCATATCAGCAGCTCATTCAGTTGCTTCCTTCCTACGTATCAGCAAACTCCTTAAATATGAATAGTACACTCATTCGGTTGTTGCTTATTCGGTTGCTTATTCGGTTGCTTATTTGGTTGCTTATTTGGTTGCTTATTTGGTGGCTGATTTGGTGGCTGGTTCGGTTGCTGGTTCTCAAGATCCACCACCACCTCCTCCTCCTCGTCCTCCTTACAATTCATCTCCTCATAGTCAGCTGAATCAAAGGAGAAGCTTCTTTGATCATACATAGGATGACCCCACTCATCAAAGCAGAATTCTTTTGCACACTGAATGCAGGGGGTTACATTCTTTTCCCTCTTCATAACAGACCTGTAGATCTCAAAGAACCACTCATGGTGTTTGTCCCCGACACTCATTGTTGGAGGCAAGAGAGGCTTTGCAAATCGCGCCAATTCAATTGCCTTTGCCAGATCTTTCTTCTTTGAGCAGGTCTTCCTTAAACAGCCAGCACAGGTCTCATTCAGCTATTTGTTGTATGGTGTTGCTGGCTTCTGGTCCCATTCCCAATCCTCCACCCACTTCCAGAGAGCAAATGAATCAAGCAGTGGAATTGCCAAGATATGAGTTTACCCGATTAGTGGCCAAATTTAGTGAGCAGCTTGTCCGTTGGGGGTTGAGTCAAAGTAGTCATTACATAATAAAAAGATGGCCCAAAATTGACGCACAGTACAAAGTACATGTAGGATAGTAAATAGGGTACAACTCACTCAAACAGACATAACTTCTCCCCCAACGGACGCTTAAGTGTGATAAGCACATGATGGTTGAAAAGAGAATTCAAAGAGCTTTCTAATGGTCTGGGGGAGTGCGGCGTATGATGAATATTGATTGATATACATGTACGTATATCCAGCATTTCTAATGTACGACTGGGTCGGCAGAAAACGCGTGGCCCATGCTATACGATAGTAAGCAACACTAGGAGAGAGTCTTGGAACTGTGCCCAGTGTTAGTGAGGAGGCTACAGAGTGGCAGAAGTTTCTGGTCATGATGTTTCCAACATCTGTGCCAGATAGCAACAACAACAATCCTAGCCCCCACTTTTAAACCAAGACCTTTCCTACTATGAAGAACAATGCATGGAGTGTATGCTACATACTCAATTAGTAAGAAGATTCGCCACCAGCTTAGCTAAAGGTGCCAGTTGTTCCAGTATTTACAGACTGGAAGATTCTGGTCATGATATTGTTGTTTCTGAAATTTGTGTTGGACAGCAACAACAATAATCTCAGCCCCCAGTATTCAACCAAGACCTTTCCTTTGAAGAACAACACATGGAGTATATGCTACCTACTTAGCTAGCTTTGGAAGCTTCACCACCATTTTAGCTCCATGTGCCAGTTGTTCCTACCCCAACTAGAGTATACTAAGCTACATACTCAGTTTTAAAACACTTCTTGTAACCCACAAGGTTGCCTCAGCTGGATCCATCCCCAGTTCTTACAGGCTCAAGAAGATTCTGGTAATGATGTTCACAAAGAACTTGAAAAACTATTGGGACAATAAATATTCAATTCAGTTTACAAACAAATTTATATTCATCAATCCGATTGATCGATTGATTTCTAATCCGTTCCGTGGTCAATCCTCTTTCCATTCGATACAGTCAATCCGTAGTGACGTTGATACATGCCACAACAACATTCGGTCGCATCCTTAGTCATACGAATTCCGGGCAGTGCGTCTGAAATGTCGAGGGTTTTCTCCTGTTTTGTGTGGTGCCGTGTGCCAATGCTTATTCCCACCAGAGACGGTCATCTCCCATGGCGCCTCCGTTATCGGCAACCGTGTGTGGTTCAACGACAATCTCATGCGGGTATTCCATCGGAGCCTTGGACCACATGCGGATCGTCCATCCGGGACCTGGCGTCTCGATAATGGCATGGTAGGGTTGGGTAGTTCCCTCGCAGTGAAGGTCAAATACCTGACGAATGGAATTGGGTCCCTGCAAAACTTCAATCTTGGACTTCGCTGCTCTCTTGCCGGTGTCCTTCGACCACCACATGATTTGAACACTCTCAATTGAATCTGAGATGGGAAACGCCTTGACGGCACCTAGTCCTCCCTCTTGAACGGTTCCCTGCATGGTATGCTTCGGGTTCGAATCCCAGACGTCGTTTTGGAACGCAATGAGTTGCTTCGTGCGTTCCATGGAGGGAACCTCGGCTCCGAAAGTGCACGGGAACTCCTGCGATCCGGTGGTAGAAATCTTTAGCGCCTTGGGTCCCTTGGGGAAAGCGAGCATCCCCTTGTATGGCGTTTGGGAGCCGTCTTCAAGGTTTACATCCATGGAGTGCAAGAGACGAACAGGTCCTTCCCAACTGTTTTATCGAGTCACGTGAGTGATCGCCCATCAGTCATCGACATAGATATCGTTATCAACGTAGTCATCGCAATCATGGATTGGATCGCAGTTGGTGTAGCGGGTCGACAATGGGAAGATATATCGAAACAAACGTGCGAGATGGAGTTAGATGGAATGTAAATGGAATGGACAGATTAAAAAACCGTGCATGCAAACGCTGCGGAGACGGCAACAGTCGCTGCGTTTCATGCGTTAAGATGAAGCGGGAGCATTTCTGTTTCTTCTGCCAGCTACAAAGGTCCTCGACAAACCAAGACGATGTCGCTCCATCCTGTTTCCACAACGGACAACTGTGTCTCTGCTTCCTTTTCCGCTCGCCACAACACAAAACCAAGCAAAACAAAACAAATACGCTCAAGGTTTCTGATAGCTTGACGTGAAGAAGCAACGAACAACGAACAACGAGCAACACGCAACGGTCGACAATTGACAATCGACGAGGAACTCTTTGGATTTGATTTCCATGGGGTATCACGCAAGTTGAGATTCGCATTTTTGACGTACAGTTCAACCTTGGCCTTCAGCGGACGTCCGTTCGTTTCCAAGACGTATTGTAGACGCTCTGTTTCGGTTGGGATATCCCAGGTTCGGACTGTGCCACCTCCCTCGATACGTTTCATAGGAATGTCAGAAGAGAACAGCTCGAATGGCCCACCAGGGCTTCCAAGAGCTGGCGGACTGGAGGGGGACCAGCCCTGACCCACGTTCAGCGCACTGCCAGTCTTCACTTGGGCGGAGGGGGTGAAGGCCGATGTGGAGGCGACAAGGAGAGAAGCGATTGCGGCGGAGAACTTCATCGTGCTTTTGTGGAAGTGCAATAGTTAGAATGATATATAAACTTAAACTACCTGTAGACCCTAGTCTTCGTTGTTTGTAGACAAGAGTATTATTGCCAGTGTGGCTTCACCGTGAACTTTTGCTCTCGACGTTTTGAAAATAAGAGGCTAACGACTTTTCAAACCGAAACACTACCGTGGCGTAGGAGGTCGTCGAGTAATGATGTATGATGTACGATTGATGTAGTACAGGTACTGTAATTTGGTTGTCGGTTTCTTCACCGTATTATTGCTACAATATAGAACTTGAGTGCTGGGGTACTGGTACGTCGTACTGATTGTGCTTTTTGGAGTACTGTAAGACTGTACAGATAAACGGGTAGCACCCAGCTCAGTGCGTGATCACAGCTGCAGGCGCGTGCGTATGCGTGTTCCGTTTAGGCGATCTGGCTATAAGTTTATGGTAGGGTACAAGTACTTACTGAGATGCTCTTATGCACCCTGCACGCATGCATGGAAATGGCAGGAGTAAGAGCATGACGACGTCTACGAAAAGCCTACGAGCGGAGTTGATACTCTTGAAACCAATCTCTACCGAACTCGTACTATCGTAACGTTCTGCACGAATTACCCGTACTCGTACTCTCTATTGGTTCGAGTACGTACGAATACCAGTACGAAGTACGTAGCACTTCCCGAGATTCGAGAGTATTGAAGTTCTTCAAATTGACCCAGGGCTGGATGATGTTGCCTATCCATACCGGCCGGCCGGTAGGATTCTAACAATAACAAAATTAATATTACTCTACGGTACTCGTACTTGCAGTCTGTAATGTACACTATCGTACCGTACCTCGTACAGCACTGCACCGTACCTATTCCAAAGGAAAAAATTTGAATCCAATGCGTGCTCCCTGCCATAAATTTCCGAATCCAGTGACGTACGTCAGCGATACTAGTGACTTCTGATTGGTACGTCGGTATGCGTCATCACGTTCTACAAAAACCCCAAGCTTCGTGAGCAGACTGTGTAAGTTTTGATAGGAAGGAGGAAGATTTATAGTGCTTAGGGGTGCCTCTCAACCAGAAGGCCGTTCACGAAACTTAGCTGCCGCGCCGGAAAAAAGAGCACCCATAAACTGGTAGAAACTACGTAGTACGTCCTCGTAGTACGAATACCGGTACGAGTGGGAAATAGTCTAGTGTGTACGAAATCTCTCGTACAGGTGAGAGCACGTACGTACTCGTACTGTCCGATGAACAGTACGGGTACGATTGAGTACGGTAAGTGTACCTGTCCGGTAGCACGTCAAGTCAAAACGAATTTCCGACGACTGACGCGATGTGACGTCACAAGTCGAGAATGAGAACGACAAGGACGAAAGCTGGCAGGCTCGATCGTTCAGAATGTAGAAGTACCAGGCAAGTACCAGGTACTCTAACCTCCGATCCAAAATAATAGTACACTTTGCACTACTCTATTTTCTTTTTGAATGGATCTTTCGACCCCTTTCAAAATGTGCTACTAGATCAATGATGGAACCCAAGAATCAAAATTTTGAGCCCATTGTAAGATTCAACAGAACAAAGCCACCCCTACCCTTACCTACCCAGACCTTGTTTCAGTCATTACAAACAAATAAAGATTCCAGATTCTCAAAAAGACGACTGGTGAGATGAAGAAGAAGCCTCGTCCTGCTGCTGGTGCCTTCCTTGTTGCCATCTGTCCCTTGAAATTTCACTTCCCAATATTACTAGCTAGTATAAATTGCAAAAAATGCTAATTGAATCATCCAATTTTCCATAACAGTTTTTGGAGTATTTGGCTGTTAGATTCCACAAATGACTACTGCAAATGACTGTGTACAACACGTAGAATCAGTAATGAAACTCAAAAGCTGCATGCGTGGTTAAAAATTAATTCTTTAATTTTTGACATGAAAATACACTGTATTAACATGGAAGAATCTAAAGTTTGCATTGACAATGGTACTGCTGGGCACCTCTTTTGAACAAGAAGAATGATGACCAATACAAGAAAGTTCACTTCTGCATAGTACTGAGCAGAATTAAAGCCTTGAAAATATGTGTCACTCTTAGCTATCATGTCCAAGTAGTGGCATACTATCAAAATGACCTTTAGTAGGACCCAACTGGCAGTATTTTCATATTGATAAGAAAAAATAAGTTTTTTTTAATGTGTAGTGCAAGAACATTAAAAGGCATAACACATTCAAAAAGTATTTAACAAGATCAACATAATTAAAAAAGAAGCAGTCAAATTGCCCATATAGTGAGCTTATTTCAACTCAAGAGGTGCAAAGTGGACTATTATTTGGGGACTGTGGTGGTAGCAGTAGTACCCAACAAAAATAACTAAAATATCAACCCTGTAGGATGTAGTACATACTAATTTATGTACAGTGGTTTACTGAAATGCTATTAGTAGTAGAGCATCATGATGTTTGATGAGAAGTACTTCTACAATCATACACAAGGCAAGTTATATGAAAAACACAAGTCATGAAGGTAATTTTATACAATCATGGACTTATTTCCATCAAGTCTCCTCCTGCCAGTAAACTATCACCTACTAGTACTACTAGTACATCCTTAAAGAGGAAAGCCAAGCCAATCTCTGATGTTGGTGCTAGAGTCTGGGTCACAAAGAAGCCTTTGTCAAAGAACTATTTCCTAAAGAAACCACCATTTGTTCTATTTTCCACCTGGACCACCAAAAACTCAGACAACAAGGAGCCAAAGGATAAAGAAGAAGCTGGGGTTGGATGTCTACATCTAAATATACCTGATTCAATGTTGGTTTGTACACCAAGAAAATTGCATGGACAAAACTATTAATTGAAATTTCTAGACTTTTTTGGTGGTCTTTTGTTATGTCATTTTACAAGTCACAGTCCCCTTGTAGCCTTCTCAGTACTTCTCCACAACAGGAGGTTGGGTTATACAATGATCCAGTAAGTTCTCTGATTAGTTGACTTCACATCCCTCCAATTGGATTTTGGTTTCAACTCCTCCTTCATCATATGATATCTTCTTCTTTATTTCAATTAACTTTTCCTCCATGATGGACATACTCCATCCTATATAATCTGCTTGATGTGCCTCTGATTTTCAACTTCTACTCTACAACAGATATAACCTCCTCTATTCCATCCTACGTCATCTACCTGATGTGACTCTGATTTGTTGAATTCTACTCCATCCTAATTTGTCAACTTCTCCTCAGCAACATCCACTTCTACTCCATCATGTTTCATGTAAATGACATCCTGTCCATATCGTCTACTGCAGTTGGCATCAAAAATACTCCTTGCCACCACTGGTAGTACAAAAATCAATGGACCTTCATCTGAGTATTTCTCCTTGCCCTGCAGCATGGATCCCAGATTGTACCTCACTTTATTTGTGGAAGCATCCATCTATTTGAAAATCAAGCTCAATTTCAATTATATAGATATGGTTGGCCTTGTCTCTCTTTGCTTTTGGCTATAGTGAAAGCATCAGGATATCTGTATTGCAGTCATCAATCAACCAAATTTTATTGTCAATATGTGGTACCAATCAGTGACAAAATTGATGCCATAGCTAGTACTATACCAATTACAGATCAGAATACAACCAATATAGGTCCACATTGTCCTTATGTTGTTACCATCAGACATTGCCAATTAAGTCAACAAAATGACAAAAAATCCAAACCCATGACTGCCAAAAGAGTACTCCTCTTTGTGTGCCCAGAATCACGATTGAGCCCATATCTACACATGTAGCCCACAGTGCTAACAATATCATATAGGCTTGGCTAGCAGATGTACGATAATATTGTACATTTTTGGCCATCTTTTTTGCGTGTAATGACTAATTTGACTAAAAAGTACAAAATGCACGTGCTCAGTACCGTACGGTAATTTTTGAATCCCACATTCATGCAACCAAATAGTTTTGCGCATGTGCAAAATAGTTTTGCTTGCATGTGCACGCTGTAGCCCTGGTACAAGTCAAATTTTTAATCCCACGAGTCATTACACGGTAAAAAGATGGCCAAAAATCCMCGCACAGTACAAAATACACGTAGAGGGTTAACTAGGGTACAACTCACTCGAACAGCCATAACTTTCCTCCCAACAGACGCTTAAGTATGATAAGCACATGGTTGAAAAGAGAATTGAAAGAGCTTTCTAAAGCCGTGCGGGAGTACGGCGTCCAACGAATATTCATTGATATACATGTACATATCCGTATTCAAAAATGTCCGATAATTTCGGCCGGAAACACGTGGCCCACGCTATACGATAAGTCCACATTGTTCCAAGGTAGCCAACAGACATTGCCAATCAAGGCAACAAAATGTTTCATTCATCAATCACAAAATCCAGACCAATAACTGCCATTGTAGAAGTATGTTTGCCCAAAACTGCCAAGAACCAGTATTTGCACCATAGCTACTAGTACACCAAATACAGGTTATAGTAGTGTTACCAATGTACTAGGTCCTCATTGTCCCAATGTCACCAACAGACAATTACAATCAAGTCAACAAAGTGTTTCATTCATCAATCAAAAAATCCAGACCAATAACTACTGTGATAGTACTATTTTTGCACTCAAAATCCAGACCAACAATTGCCAAAATTGTGCATTTTTTGACATAAAATGCTCAGAATCAGTTTTTGGGCCAAATCTTCACCGAATACACCAGGTCATAAGACAACATATATAGGTCCACAATGATCATATGTGACCAACACACAATGCCAATCAAGTCAACAAAGCAGTTCATTCATTGGTCGTAAAATCCACACCAATTACTTCCAAAATACGAAGTGTTACTATTTTTTACACAAAATCCAGACCAAGCCAAAAGAGTATTTTTTTGTACCTGAACTGCCCTGAATCAGTATTGGTGCCATTGATAGTACACCCAATACAGGTCATAGAACTACAAATATAGTTCCATATTGTCCCCAGTCACTATTGGTGATCAAGTCAATGAAGTATTAAACTCTTCTCTCACAAAATTCATACGAATCAGTACCAAAATAGTACTACTACTATTTGTGCACATGAACTGTACAGAGTCAGTATTGCTGCCGTAGCTATGCCAAATACACATCATAATACTACTACCAATATAGGTCAATATTGTTCCAAAGTCATC